AGGAAACATACAAGCGCTGACAAAAGACAAGAAGCCCAGCAAACTTCGCTGTCTACAAGAGCTGCAAGCCATTAGCCGTTGCTGGGGCCATAGGAAAAGGACGCTCTATACGAGAAGCTGGAGGGCCGAGAAGGGGACAAGTTCGTTTTCTGCTTGACTAAAGCCCGGCATCGCGTTGTCAGACATCAGGGTAGCGAAGACTGTGAACAGCAGCAGCGGGATCACCCGGAGGAAATCAGCCGAAGTTAGAAAGAGATGAGAAGAATACGAACGAATACGAACGAAAAGAATACGAATACTCCCGAACGAATAATGCCCCGCGAGGAAAGGAGGAGAGGCTACAGATAGCAGCGGCAGGTTCTATCACATCTTGGACAAAGGATTAGGTCCGCCGAGAACTTGGAAGGATGGAGGTTGGGAAGGTAGTGAGTCCAGACGCGGTACCATAGATGCATGGAAGAGACTTGGGGAGCATTGGGTGAATCGGCTCACACTTTTCCTTAACAAGGTAACGGCTAAGGGAAGGATGCCGGATGCGTGGAGGAGCAGCACAATCGTTCCCATCTTCAAACATAAAGGTGAAGTGACGGAGTGGTCCAACTACAGCGGCATCAAGTTGACTCCCCATACCATGGAGCTGTATGAGCGCCTGGTCAACACAAGGCTGAGGGAGCTTGTCCCTATCTCCCAAGAACCGTTTGCCTTCATGTCCGGAAGGTCCACCACTTATGCCATCTTCATAGCTACACAGGTGCTGGGGAGGTACCGAGATAGGCGGCGACCCTGCTACCTAGCCTTCCTGGACCTTGAGAAGGCATTCGCTAGCCTGCCCCGGCCTCTACTCTGGAGAGCGTTCAGAGAAAGTAAAGTGAGCAGCTGGTTTCCATAGTTAAGGAAGGGCATGTGCGATGGGGCTAAACCAGCTGTACGTCCCCCTCACGGCTTAACAAAGGAAGTAAATATCACGGTTGGAGTACACCACGGTTGAGCCCTTAGCCCGTTCCTCTTCCTCCTACCTGTGGATGTCATGGCAAAAGAACTCATGAGGAGGGCGGGGAGGGAGGCACTGAAAACCATTCTCCACGCTGACAACATTGCACTCATAGCGGATAGCGGATAGCAGGGAAGAACTTAGAGTCAAGGTGGACTCCGGCTTAGTATAAAGAAAACCAAGCTCTTGAACCCTGGAGAGTGCACCGAACCCATCATTTGCCACGGCGAAAGCATCGAAAGAGTCGAGGACTACCATTACCTGGGGAGCGATCTAGCAGCATGGCAGCGTGGAGCATGCGAAAAAAGCTTGAGTCAATACATCCTGGACGAAATGGAGAAATTCCTCAGGCATCTGCGACTGGCGATGCTCGTGAACATTCAAGGGCAAGGTGTACCGAGCGGTGGTAAGGCCTGCAATGCTCTACGGGATTGAGTGCTGGCCCATATGCAAAAACCTGAAAGGCAGCTCCACACAGCTGAATTGCGAATGTTGACATGGCCCGCGGCTGGACACGGCTAGACAGAGTCAGAAACGAGGACGTTGGAGCAATCACATAGACGGCCAAGGCACGGGGAGCGACTGCGCATTGTAGGGACCGTACTGAGCGAGGCCCTGACACGAAGCTCTGATTTGGAAGGCGCTGGAATGCAAGAAGGTAGATGGCAAGACCACCACGAGGGTGCTCCAAGGGTAAAAAAAAGACGGAGGGACGTATCATGAAGCTCACTGAAGTGAATGCCATGACAGAAGATGCAGTGGATCGGACAAGTGTCGAGTAACAAGAATAGCGGACCCTGCGACAAGAAGAAGAAGAAGAAGAAAACTGTGGTTTCTGAAAATGTTGCCTATGTTGTGCCAAATGTTCCCCCATAGGCAAGAGCCATGAAATGAGATTTTGCTCTTTTAGCATGCGTCTTCAAAATGGACCCCACTGAAAAGAATCGGAAAAGAGGAGGTCGGTAAAGTGAGCAGACGGTAAAGTGAGTGACAGCCAAATTGAGGGCAAGTGTCGCGATAAATCCACAAAGCGCATAGGGTTCATATGCCTACACGAAGGAATATCAGGTCCTGGGGTCCTGGACTGCGTGACGTCTTTTCCGACCAAGAGCGCTCTACTGAGGCGCAATTTCCGACCCAGACACCCCGCAACCGTTCGTCCACCGAGATGATGCCACTCTTATTGTCCCATCTACGAAATACTTTTGATATGAAGCGGGTGCTGTGCTGCATGAACATATGAACGCAACCATATCCCAAAGCAGTTGCTGGCACTGTGCCAGCAACTGCTTTGGTAGATACGCACCTGACCTTGAGAGAATTTTTCCAAAGCGAAAAAAATGGTATCCCTTGCCCATTGCCATTGCTGGGGGCTGCAGTCAAGGTTTATTGCAGCTACTGCTCCGACAACTGTTGCTTGGTTACGACCCCCACCTCGGCTCGACGGCAATTTCTGGGGGGGGGAAGAGCAAAATGTTTGGAAAAGGGGAAAAGAGCAATAGAATGTTGGGAAAAATCGGGAAACGTTTGGAAGATGATAGGAGGTAAAGGGAACCAAGGGAGGGGGATGGTTGTGTCGAAGGAGAGAACTGAGGGATCGCGTTTTGCAACAGTTTCCTTAGGCAAGTGCCCTGGTCGTCTGTTATTGTCCAGAAAGTTCTGCACGTTTCGAGTGTTTCACTTTAAACGATCATAACTTTCTTAACACTCATCGAATTTGATCCAAATAAGCACCATTCGAATCAGCAAACTTTTGCCAATGTGAGCAGTCGAGGAATCCCATCAAAGAAATGAAAATCTGTGTGGTCGAGAGTTCACGAAATCCACCAAGGCTTTTTTGCCTGGTCCTGATTGATGAAGTATTTTCCAGCAAGGGAGCTCTGAAAATGTTTGAAAAGGTGATAGTCGATTGGCGAAAGGTCTGAAGAATAAGGCGGATGAGGTAGAACTTCGACCCCCAATTCGTTAAATTTATGGATAGTGATTTGTAGAACGTGTGGGTGGGCGTTGTCATGCGAAAGAATCGGACCCTTTCCTTTGATAAGTGTTGGCTGCAACTGACAAAATTTTCGGTACATTTCGTCGATTCCTTCACAGTAGAGTTCTGCTGTGATGGTTTCACCTGTGACAAAAAGTTATAGTGGATCACACCAGCCGATGAGCACCAAACCGTGACCAGAATCTTTTTTCGTGAGGGCTGGGCTTTGAAAATTACCTCGGTGGTTCGTCGGAATCCAACCACTGTCCGGAACGTCTCCAGTTATCATACATGATCCATCTTTCTTACAGGTGAAAAGGTTCAAAAACGGGTCGCTTCCGTTGCGCAAAAGCAGTGAAGAGGAACCACGAGACGGGAGAATTTCTGCCGGTCACTCAAATTGTGGGGCACGCATTTATCGAGCTTTTCACCTTCCCAATGCGTTTCAGACCATCTGCAACACTGGATTTGCCAACGCCTAGCTTTGCTGTAATCTCTCGAACTGTTTGGGATGGGTCAGCCTCCAAAATCCCTTGAAATCCTCGTCAGATATGCTTTAGGTCGGCCGCTACGAGGTTCATCTTCAAGGCTGAAATCTCCAGAACGAAGTTTGTTGAACCATTGCCGCACAGTGCTTTCTCTAGCACTATTGGGCTCCCACCTGGTTAGTTTGTTGAGCTGTTTCGATCTCGGATTCCCTTAATTTATAGTCGAAGAAAAAAATCGTCCAAAGTGCTCTTTTCATATGCTTGAAAAAATCTTAAAAAAAAAAGGGTTTATCAAGCAATGGTAAACGGCAGTTATACGCAGTATATTGCACGTCTCGCGTTCCTCTGTCCTGCTTTGCGCAAACGGGAAGCCGGACCCGTTTTTGAACCTGTGTCAACCTGTAATGAAAGATGCGATCATGTATGATAACTGGTAGACGTTCCGCCGAAAGTAGGTTGGATGCCGACGACACCGAGCAATTCCAAAGCCCAAAATCCTTCAAACAAACGATAATCATCGCAGGCTGGTTTTCATCGGGTGGTGTGATCATTAAAACTTCTTGTCACGGGCTAAACCATCACAGCAGAGTCCTACTGTTAGAAATTCACGACGCATAAATTACCGAAAGTTGCTTCAGCCTGCAGCAGCACTTGTCAACAGAAAGGGTCCGATTCTTTTGCATGCAAACTCCCCCCCCCACACGTTTCACAAATCACTATCAAACTTAATGTAAATTGAACAATGCGCGGTTGAAGTTCTAGCCTCATCGCCCATAATTCCCCAGCGGGGGAACCCTTCAACCGACTGATCACCTTCTCAAACACCTCTCAAGAATTTCCTCGCCAGGAAAATACTTCATCAGTTAAGACCATGCAAAAAAAAGCCTTCATAGCCATTTCGTAGCTCGACCACCCAGTTTTTTCTTATGGATGAGATTTATCGACAGTTGCTCGCATTGGCAGAAGTGCTGTATTTGAAACCGTCGCTATTTCGCGATTGAATCCGTATGAGTATAAGGAAAGTTTACGCTTGTTTTGAAGTGAAACACCTCAAACGCCTGAGAACTTCCGGACAACCCAATATAAGCGTGACCCCTTCAAAGTGCACGCCAGCGCGAAACGACTGGAGGGTGGTCTTACCCGCGCTCCCGCACACAACCCTGTCTGCCCTCGCTGGGTCTAATTAAACCATCCTTGTTTGTTTGTATCCAGCTGTCCACTGTGAATCGGTCAAGGATTACATTGCATGCGTAACTCGTTTTGACGAGTTCAAAAAAAGCCTCTCTTGTATATCGGTATCCATTTGTCTGCGATTCATTTGGAAAGGAACACTCATGCGATATGTGCTAATTTCAGGCCAGCAGAGGAGCAGTTCCATTTGCAAGCCATAAAGCTGCCTGCCGTTTTATTCTTAATGCGGATGAGATGTGGGAAATGCTGCATTTCTAAGTCTGTCAGTGGCATGGCTACCACCTCCTTCGAATGCCCAAACCTGCCCGCCGTTCATTTGTCCCTCGCTTCACAATCGCCTCAAATGACACACGTCCCTCTCTTTGCGTATTCGTCTGTCTTCTTGCACTCGTCCACACGTTACCGTCATCACAAACTCATTTACTATCTGGAGTAAGAGTTTATTATTGTAAATCCAGCGTCCACAGGAAATTCTTCTTTTCACTCGCACGCTTCAAGTGCATTTTTGAACGTCCTGCTTATACGGTATGGCTAGCGGACGCATGTCCATCCAAGTGAAACTGCGCCCTAACGAATATGATTTGTAAATGTCGATCTCCGAGAGAGGAGTGGGAGTGTCGCACGCATAGTGTCCTTTCACCCATTCCATGACTCGGACCGGTCAAAAGTTTTGTTCCATAGACGAAGAAGGGCTGTGCTGTGCTGCTCTAGAACCTCGACTCCTTAGCAGCAATTCATCAACGTCGTGAGGCTCTAGCCACTTGCTCTGATCCTTCTCCTTATTATTTTTGCTTTAGCATAACCTTTGCTTTTCGTCCCTTCCGATTCATCTGATGACTTATCCATACTTCATGAGAGACCCAATAGCCTCAACACGTTGACGACAGCGCAGCTTTTTACTTTTCGGCCTCGTGGTACACGCCGCTTTCTTGAACGCCACTAGGCGCGGTACGCATACAATTCAAGCCGTCCCACGAAGCAGCTTTTTGGAGATGGATCAAAAAAGCTTGATTAAGAGAGCGATTGGGAGGTAAGTCAATTATTCATTCTTCTTCTTCAGCGTTGGTCCCGCCTTGACGCGGGCGTCTGCTCTTTTGCATACAACTACGCCACTTTCCCGATTGATGCCTATCAGGGTGGATGCGGCTATGTTTCTAATCGATCGGTATGCAACGTGTCGAGCCAGCCTTTTGCGAATCCCTTGGGCGCTTTCCTGTACCTCGAGTCGAGAGCAGTTTCCCGACGGTATCAGCTTGCGCGAAGACGCTGCCCATACCATCGGAAGGCGCGTTTCACGCATTTTCTCCTTCATGGATGCTTACACCATGAACTTCTTACGCATGACATCATTACAGACGCGTCCGATCACGTGACGCCCGCCGTCCAGCGGCACATCTTCAATCTCACATCACGCCAAGGCGAGCCTATCTTTTGTCCGCCGGCCACTCGGACCATATAACGCGACAGATCGGACACAGCTACGAAAGACTTTGAATTGGAACCGCTCTGCATTTTCTTGTTCGCGAAGGATCCCGAGACATGATGCCACTTGACCACGCCGGCAGCTTCACTCGCTGCGCTCACTCGAGTTAGGACGGCCGTCGACGCAAGTGCATGAGCAGAGATACTGAATGATTCCGTTGCGCTTGAAGCCGTCGCCAATCGATCTTAAATGGAGAGCCCTCTCAATTTGGTCAGTTTCAGCGTTTACTCGCTTTTGTTGACGTCCAAGCCTGAGATCCAACTAGCCAGACGCTCGCGCAAGCTTGCACCTGCTTTCCAGATGCGTCTTATCTTCACAAGCAAGCATTCACGATCACCAGGTAAAGCAGGGTCCATGCCACTTCATTTCTGAAGATCTCGGAGAAGTAATCAATTACATACTATGGAAAAATCCTATGGGGCTGAGGCCAACTCTCTTATGCACCAGGACTAGGAATTTGCTCCGCTAACATTTTTTCATGAAACATGCAAATTCGTGTTTCATAGACGTCAGATCCCCATTCACCTCATACTCTCCATTCATATCTCTC